CATGAAAAATCACAGTCGAGTTTTGTCTCGTTTTTATTGTGTTATTTTTTGTTCCATTTTTTTTCTTCTTCCTTCAGTACTCAGCTTTTGTCGGTTAAATGTCATCCACCAAAAAACAGTATTAGGGTAATAAAAGAAAACAGAAGACCGTGAAGGGGATTAAGAGCGAAAAAAAAGAAAATTGCATCAATATTTTCTGTTCTTTTTAATAATAAAAATAATATTTTTTTGTTTTTCTTATTCATTCCTTTCTTTTGATGTTTCTTAGCGAAAGTAGAAAAACCAAAAAGTTGAGGGAAAAAACTGGCACGTTAAATTTTTAAATCGATTTTGATATTTTTTCCTTCTTTTATTTCTCCACTCCTTTGTTTTTTCTTCTTCAGTTGCTTGGATTGGAGTTGTCGTTGCTACTGAGAACTAAAGATTGTTGGAAAAATAGAGAATTGCAAAAGAAGCAGTTTTTATTAACAACAACAATAACAACAAAAATAATTCAAGAACAATAATGCTTAAGAGAAAAAAGAGTGGAAAATGGGAAGAAAGAAAGATGAAAATTTTGTTAAGGCCTTCGGAATGTGTCTTCTCAAAAATAGCATCTTCAAAACATTGCTGGTTTTTTGCTTTAGAAAGAATTAACAAAAAAAAAGTAAAAAATTTTCCCTTTTCTTAGCCTCTCATTTCAATTAAAAGGCTTTCAACTTTGTTTTTGTTGTGTTTTGTGGACCGATGTTGCCGACACCGTCGTTGTTGTTGCCGCCGTTTCCTGTTTAGTGTGCTGTTTTCATTGAGAGGCTGACGAAACAACGGAGAACAAGGGAGAGCTCAAGAGGAAGAAGAAGGAAAAGAGTAAGAAGGCAGGAAGAATGTTGATAATGGATATGGTGGAGAATAGAGGAACTTTAGGAAATTGCTGAATACATCAAACGAATAAAATTATTGTGAAAAATTTTAGAATTCTTGACAAAACTTTCACGCAGTCGTTTTTCGTACTTCATTCTCTCTTTTTTTTTCTTGCCATCGTTTACAATACTTCTGCCGTTCTGTTGCTCATATAATCGTCAAGTGATAACCAAAAAAGTTATGCTTTAAATGATACCAATTAAACTGAAAACGATGAAGAAGAATACACTTACATAAAATTAAAAAACAGTAGACTGGTTACTTTTTTTGTATCATTTTTGTTTTTATGAACCCCTGACACGAGTCTGCAGTGACCGTAAATTTAACACTAGCGAAAACAAAGCAAAAAAAGGAGGAAAGGAATGGAAGAATTACTCTTTGACAACGTTCCAAAGAATATTTGATTAAACATTTGATATATACCCATTTATTTATCACAACTTTTTTGATTGTTTAGATACATTACTTTTTCATTTCCATCTTTCTGAAATTAAAATACAATATTTTTTGCACACCCACGTTTTATACTCGTAAAAATTATGAATTTTCCTCTTCGCCACTGTTCCACTTAATTTCTAAACAATAAACTACAACAGAATTGCTACATACAACTAAAGTGTTGTCCAAAAAATAAGTGTTAGAATGAAAACAAAGGGAACAACCCATTAGTGCCCCAAAATAAACATCATTTCTATTGTATCTGCTGTAGTTTTCTCGTTCTACTTCATCCTCGTCATTCAACGCACCCTCTAATCACTGCAAAATTGGGTTGGATACCCTGTGAATTAGTTGGTGCAACCTTCTTTGGTCCACATCTGTCTGATTATTACCGTGGATATCAGACTATAGCCGATGTACTCACTAATACAGCACAGCCTATTGGAAATGAATCTTTGGAATATGCTGGGCAGACTCAGATGAACAAAGATCCGGAAAGAGTTCATTTGTATACAGCAAATTGATTGAAATTATTTAAACTGGATCTAAAAAAAAGGAGAGAGCTTTACGTAAGAAAAAAGAAATCTTTTTTATTAATGAGAATAAAATAGAGCAAAAAAGTTTTCATTAAAGAAGAAGTAAAGTGTTTCAAAAAAAATTTTGAGAATTTTCCTCCCGTTAGCTTTTCTATGTGTATGTCTTTTTTCGTTATGTTTCTTTTGTTTTTATTTTCCCCAGTTTTCCAATCTTTTTTTGCGGCTTTAAAATTAAATTGTCAAAAAACTTCGTTAAGTGGGGCAGAAAAAAACCATTTTTTCAAGCCGCTGATAGTGTTGAATGTTGAACAGAGAAAAAAGTGGCAGCAGCAATAAATATGAGAAAAAAAACTACTACTAAAATAAAACGATTAGAAGTGTAAAAGTTTATTTCACATCAGCGAAAAAAATTTCTTTCTGCTTCTTTTTTTTTTTCATTTAGTGTTTTTTTTTTTTGTCATCTTCGCCCATTTCAATAGCAGAAAGC